TGGCTGGTCGCATGTTGGTGATGGGGCTTTCATGGATGGGATTGGTCGGGTCTTTCATGTCTGTTTGACCCCCATTAAACATGTCCAGTCGTTGCTCTTGTCGTCTTGGACCAGGAAAGTCGCGTCGCAGGTCCGTCATCGTAAATACCTTTCTGAGCTTGAGCACATTTAATTTGCGTTCCACTTACACAAATGACCAGACACCTCCTGTCATTTGAGAAGGCCCTCGTGCGTCAACAGCATATTGGAGCTTTCTTCTCAGGCGAATTTACCAAGCACATCGACCAGAAGGCTGCCGTTTGTCGGTATTGTGGTGAAATTGATTCAAGACTGCATCGATTGCGGTGGTGGCAACGCACAGCTGCTTGGCGCACCGTTTTCCCCTCCCTGTTCAGGTTGTGGGATAACCTCCCTGAGTTCACGACCGCCTTCGGTCTCTTTCCCGAACCGGAAGGTTGGCGTGAATGGCAGGCCGCACTTGACTCCCTTTTGCTTCCAGAGATTACCAGAAGTGACTCTCGTGATTGTGCTGTCTTTTATACAGATGGGGCTTGCCTTTTCCCTAGGCATCCGGTGATTCGTATTGCTTCTGGTGCCGTCCTCCGTGCAGACGAAAACGGCACGTTCCAAGTGTGTTGGCATGGTGTTCTCCCTGGCTCGTGTCAATCCATTTTCCGTGCCGAGCTCTTGGCGGTTTCGTGTGCGGTCGGTATGGACAAGAAACCTACGGTTTTCACGGATTCTCAATCGGTCTGTCGTACGGCCAAATCGTATCTTGAAACAACTTCAGGCCAAAATTCCTCCCGTTTTGGCACAGGATAACAAGGACTGATGAGCGTTTTATTTGTCGACTCTCCGAGGTTGTGACCTGGAGTCTGTGCATATCGGTTGGATCAAAGGCCACGTTATTACCGTACGGTGGTTGGTCTGGACAAGATCCACGCTTGGTTCAATCACTGGCCGGATTTGGCGGCTAAGGAAGCCCTTGCTGGACATGCTACCACGTTGTACACCCATATGGTCAAAGATTACAGGCGCATGATGTCGCTTGCTAAGGACATCTACTCCTTTCAGGCGGGAGTTGCCTTGATTTTCGCCAATGATGGGGATGCACGGGAGGTACGCCAACAAGTTTGGATTGGTGATGTTCACCCTGTCGGTTTGCTGTCTTCTCTGCGGTTCGAGGACGACATACACCCCGTTGTTTGTCACCAAGGCTTTGCACGTTCTCTTATTAATTGGATGAGGGAGATCCGTTGGACCTCTACCACCTCAGTTGATGGTTTAGGTTCTCTTCAAGACACCTCTTGGCTTGAACTTTTTTGGGGATATGATATGTTCATGATACGTCGGCGCTCCGTGCCTTTTGGTACTATCATGAATGGGTTTGGGTTCAGGATGACCCCACTTTGGAGTTCGCAATTCCATCCTTCGTGACGATGTTCCGGACTTGGAAGCGTACTTTCGATGCCATCTTGAGGTCAGGGGTTGCGGTCCCGTGGACACTGCGTCTGGCCAAGGTTAAGTCTGTGCGTGCTCTTGGCGCGCGATTTGATTGTCCAGGTTTCAATGGGCGCGTCCTGTTTGAGCGTCGTGTTCTTCAGGACCTGTCTGCCCAATTTGCTTATGCTCCGCGTCTGTCTTCGCTGCGGGTGCCTGCATTTAATTAGTTCTCTCAAACGGTCCGTGCGCTCACGAACTCGTCGGCGTACGCACCGGTCTCACACGTTCGCGTGACTTTGAGACCAATGTCCGAGAGTTCATCTTCATGGGCTAGGTTGGCCAAAAGGTCGACGGGACTTCTGCGTCTCAATGATAGGACGAGCCGACATCGAAGGATCAAAAAGCAAAATCGCTATGAACGCTTGGCTGCCACACGCCAGTTAACATCAGTTAACCTTTTGGTAACTTTTCTGACACCTCTGAATATTTCTCAGCAAACTCGTTGCCGGGACGTCCACTATGCCCACGGACGTGCCAATGTGAGAATTGCTTCTGGTTTCAATTAGTTTATGCACATTCCTCAGAACGGTCTGGATGGCGAAAGCAGCTCCACAAGCCGGCAGTCCGGTGCCCAACCGTGAGGGAGTGGAAACAGAAGTGGACGTTTGGCATTGGAGATCCGATCGCTTCGTGAACCTTCAAAATGTCATAGCCCAGGTTTCAAGCTGATGGCTGACGCAACATGCTCGGCTGCAGAGGAGTCATGAGCGAAAGGAAATGGGGTGCTGATAGCACCTCCAAAGACCCAGGCCTGGTCGATGCATAGAAATGCCGCTGCAGCATATCATAGTAGATCCCAAAGCTCTTGCCCGGGTGTGGTAAAGTCCCACCAGGCGGCAAGCCAAGGGGGCGCTGAATGTTCAGAATGTACTTTTGGGAGATGAAGAGTGCTGAACATGCCTAGGTCTGGACAGCCCCGGGCCGACGGGCTCTACGGTACGCGCACTCAAGGGCCCTTATGGGACCCCCACACGGGCCCACAGACCCACGGGCTGGCTCACTACGGGCCTACGGGCCACTACGGGCCTACGGGGCCACGGGCCTATGACCGGACATGACATGGACGGAAGGAAAGAGAGGGATGAGAAGGTTCCGGAGAAGGCAGAGGCTCAACAGGGTTCCGGAGAAGGTTCCGGAGAAGGTTCCGGGAGGCTTTGGTGCAGAGCCAGGTCAGGCTCAACAGGGTTCCGAAGAAGGTTCCGGAGAAGGTTCCGGGAGGCTTTGGTGCAGAGTCAGGTCAGGTTCAGCAGGGTTCCGAAGAAGGTTCCGGAGAAGGTCTGGGAGGCTTTGGTGCAGAGCAGGTCAGGTTCAACAGGGTTCCGGAGAAGGTTCTGGAGAAGGTTCCAGGAAGTTTTGGTGCGAAGCCAAGTCAGGTTCAACGGGTTCCGGAGAAGGGTTTGGAGAAGGCTTGGGAGACTTTGGTGCAGAGACAGGTCAGGTCCAACAGGTCTGGAGAAGGTTCCGGAGAAGGTTCTGGGAGGCTTTGGTGCAGAGTGAGGTCAGGACAGGGTTCCAAAGAAGGTTCCGGAGAAGGTCTGGGAGGCTTTGGTGCAGAGCAGGTCAGCTTCAACTTCAACAGGGTTCCGGAGAAGGTTCCGGAGAAGGTTCCGGAGAAGGTTCCAGGAAGCCTTGGTGCGAAGCCAAGTCAGGTTCAACGGGTTCCGGAGAAGGTCTGGGAGGCTTTGGTGCAGAGCAGGTCAGGTTCAACAGGGTTCCGGAGAAGGTTCCGGAGAAGGTTCCAGGAAGCCTTGGTGCGAAGCCAAGTCAGGTTCAACGGGTTCCGGAGAAGGCTTTGGAGAACGCTTGGGGGGCTTTGGAGAACGCTTGGGAGGCTTTGGTGCCGAGCCAGGTCAGGTTCAACAGGCCCGATGAAGGTTCCGGACAAGGTTTGAGAGGCTTTGGTGCAGAGCCACGTCAAGTTCAACAGGGTTCCGGAGAAGGTTCCGGACGGGAGGCTTTGGCGCAGGGCCAGGTCAGGTTCCGGAGAAGGTCTGGGAGGCTTTGGTGCAGAGCCAGGTTCAACAGGGTTCCGGAGAAGGTTCCAGAGAAGGTTCCGGAGAAAGTTCCGGAGAAGGTTCCGGAGAAGGTTCCGGAGAAGGTTCCAGGAAGCCTTGGTGCAAAGCCAAGTCACGGGCTTTGGAGAAGGTTGCAGAGAAGGTCCCGGAGAAGGTTTTGGGAATCTTTGGTGCAGGGGCAGGTGAGGTCCAAGGGGTTCATCAAGGTTTCCAGCGCTTTGCTTCGTAGCACGGTTCAGAAAGATTTGTAAAAAAAAACGTTGCGGCTGTTGGGGATAGCGCCGAAGCTTTTTGTTTTTTCAAACGAAACATCATTCCCATCGGTAGGTACAAAAAAACGAGTTCAAATTCCAATGGTCGTGCCAAACTCAACTCCATGTAATTATCCATGTGCATACCTCTCAAGTGGAAAACAAGGTTTGAACCCTCAAACGGGTTCAAGCAACTTCCCCCGGGTCCAGCCATACGTATGGACTTGGGGTAAATCGACTGCAGTGCTGACTGAAAACAACATCTATTGCGTTTTCCGACATAGAAGACAAATTGTTGGGCAAATTGGCTGTTCATTTGGCAATATGAACAGTTTGTCGAATTCGTTCCGGATTGCGCTGGGCACCTTTTCCATGGAGTTTGTCCAGGTCAATTATGTTTGCCCCCTTTGGAAATCAAGGCCCTAGATTCTTCCACCAAATTTTGGTGCATGGGTTTAAGAACCGTTTGTGTACATCAATGTGGGTTTGTGAATTTGCAAAGGGGTGTATTTTGCATGTTTTGTTTTTTGCGTGTAAGAAACAACATCACTGGCTGTCCGTTTTGCAGACCGTTTTGGGTTTCTGCACAAAGTTTGAGCCAGGCTGCAGCAGGATTTTTATTTCGTAAGATCTTTCCCTTGTTCTCCCTTACAGCATCAACTTTGGGTCAGTCGTACTGTCATACCCAACTTGTTTTACCAGTTTACCCTTCAATTCAGGAAACATATGGAACATCACAGGGAAAAGTCACCACCCAAATGGCCCCAGTGGTTCTGTGATAAAGAAATACATCAGCATCCTCGGTGCAATGGAAATCCACTGGCGCCCAACGGTTGCTCCCAGTCTGAGCGGGACCGCAGAAGACTGAGTTTTTCTGTTTCAACAAGTGTGAGAAATGATGAAACTGGGCCTGTTTGGGCCTGTTTGGGGATGGTTTTTATGAACAAGTTCTGGTCATAGTGGGGATTGTTTATGATGGTGTTGGCCCCATGAATTTCAAAAATGTTGAACTTGGCACCCAGGTGTTACCTCGGTATCATCATGGAAACATTTCTCGGCCAGGTGACGTGCTGAAAGGATATGGAACAAACTGTTTGAGTTTCTGTAGGTCAAACATTTCCTCCTGACTTGACGCAACATGTCTCAGCATTTCCAAGATTTCTGGTTGATTTTTGTTTCTGCAGCCTGGCCCAAGGCAGCTAGGGGTCTTCGTTGAAATGGGCAGAAGGAAATGCCAATTTTCCGTGCTCACACATGTAGCACGCTGACGGTTCCTACATCAGACAGGCGAAGTAGATCCAGTAGCAATGGTTTCCGTGGTTCAAGCCCCAGTGCCCACGAACTGAGAAGAACTTCGCCGTCGTCGCCGTCTTCGCTGCCGGCCAGTCGCTTTAGTTCTGAATCCAGAGCCAGGTGTGGTAGTGGCAGTTCCGGCCTTGATGCTTTCCTTTCCTCTGATGCAGTTCCACGTAGACCCTCATCTAGTGCATCTCGGAGTTCTCTCAGAAGCACTTTGAGCAGCCAGAACCTTTCGTTTTCTTCGCCTCTGGCGTCTTCGCCACTGGCGTCTCCGCCACTAGCTCCACCTTCACCCAGCTCCCCTCCGTCGCAGCTGAGGGATGCCAAAGAGAGGGAATTCCGAGGATCAAAGGAAAGGGACTTGAGATCCAATGAGAAGGAGACCAAGGACCGGAAGGGATCCAAGGAAGATAGGGAAAGCAAAGAAACGAAAGAAGGAATTGGTAGAGGGAGCCCAAGTGGAAGAGGCAGCATTCAGTTGCCTCACCTCAAGCCCAAAGAGCCCAAAGAACCGCGAGAAGACGAGGAGAACGCAGCCAGGAGTTCCTTGACTTCCCAGTTCAGCATGTTGCCTCGACCAAAAACCGTTGAGGCCCGCATGGAGGCAATGGAAGGCGAGAGACACGAGCAGAACAGCTTTGGCGGCTTTGGCGGCTTTGGTTTCAGTACCACCACTGCTACCACAGGTTTCGGCATCGGCTTCGGAGCTCCTAGCGTTCCCGGTCTGACGCCACAGGAGCAGCTGGTGAACCTGTTCTCCGGCGCCACTCGGAAGGGCGCCAGCCATAGCGCCCATGGCCATGCTCCGCGACCGCGCCCCGAACGCCTGGAGCCCGACCCTGAGCGGCCAGACCCAGAGTCACGAGCTGAGGGGAGACCTGAGACACAGGTCAGTCGGCCCAGTTCCAAGTACAGATATGGGAAGACCAGTGGGCGACGTCCACCCCCAAGTCCCACTCAAACAGTCAGTCAGAAGAAGATACAAAGGTTGGAAGAAGGGCAGAAAATCTTTGATCTCTACTATTGGGAGGAGATCTTGCAACAAGAGGGTGATGGTGGAAAAGTCGTGGTCTGCCGGCCAAAAGGTAAGGATGGCAAGGATGAGAATGAAGCGGAGGACAAGAATGGCAGAGCATCTTTTCGTTTCGTGATGAAGATCAAGAGTAAAGAAGCTCTGCGGCAAGATATGCACGAAGAGCAATTTGTGAGGGCACAGGTGCGACTATTGAATCTGAAAGCACCTCCCGGAGTGATCCAACTGCAGGAGATCCTGGAAGATGAGAATTTCTACTACGTGGTGATGGATCGAGCCACTGGTGGATCCTTTTTCAGCTCCTTGCTGGAGGAATACCGGGATGGAACTATGCCAGCTAGTGCAGTGTGCAAAGTGGCACGGGACATCCTTGAGACCCTACGGCACTTGCACAAAGAGGGGATCCTTCACCGCGACATCAAACCGGACAACATGGTGATGCATTCGCACAGCGATGCAACTGGAAAGAAGTTGCAAAAGGTGACCTTGATTGATTTTGACCATGCAGATGCTGAGTTCTCAGGCTTAGGCCTGACTCAGGTGCAACATTGTTTTGGCACTGCCAGATTCAATGCTCCCGAAGCCTTCTTGGGCTTCTACTCCGCAGCCACGGATTTGTACTCCGTGGGCGTCATCGTGTATTTGTTGCTCACAGGCTCTATGCCCTACCCCTCCGAGCTCTTTGAGTTTCCCACCCCAGGGAGTCCCAGCCCTGCGGCCAATCGACGTTGGATGAAGCAAGTGGTGGCACAGATGGAAGCGCATCAAATTGATTGGAGCCATCCAACCTTCCGGGAAATCCCGGACAGCAAGGATTTCTGCCAGCACCTCCTAGCCTTCAATATGGTAGATCGCTCTGCCACTGCTGAAGAAGCCTTGCGACATCCATGGATTTGTTCCGAAAGCCTGGAGTGAAATGGGAAGCCTTGAAGGGCTAAAGAAACGTCAGACGACTCAAGGGACTCAAGTCAGAAATGTGGGAGCCAGAAGGGGAGCTGTCTAGCTGTCTCTAGCAGCTCTGAACTTGGAATTTACGCAGTTTCCTGTCAAAGACTTAGCCGTCTGCGACTTGAACTGCATGTCATGGTGCCTGATGTTTCGGAACTTCAGTGCCGCCAATGGCATGTTTTGGTGTTTCCTATTTTGCCTCTTTAGTGGATGCGGCTTGCCAACATTTGGAAGTGAGTCTGAACATCAAAGGACAATTCACGACGTAATGTAGACCGTAATGATGCGTACCTATTTATAAGCTGTTTGCTTCGCTCCAATCTATATCTCACAGAATTGGATGATGGGAAAATTTACAGGAAACCCCTATATTTGATGGTAAAACCCATGGTTTCCTGTAGATTTTCCTTAAACCAATCCATTGAATATCTATCTACATCTTCTTTCCATATCTTTCTGGCCGAGCCGCTGCAATCTTGTAGCCACATGACCCAATGCTTAGACGTATCTCCGAAGGAGATCTGAAGCCATAAAATGGCAACTTTGGTTGCTGAAAAACCATAAAAAGGCATTTGTTTGCGTTTCCCGGTCCGGACATGCTGACTTGTCATGACTTGTCATGCTGACTCCTGGAATTTTGGGACTTAGTAGGCAGAGTGCTGCTTGCATTTGTTTGCATCTGTTTGCATCTGTTTGCATCTGTTTGCATTTGGCAAATCTTTAACTGGATGGTTATTCCCTCCAATGTGGTAATCAATCAAAATAAAGATAAAAATACTAAAAATAGAAAATCATAACAATAACAATAACAATAATAACAGAAGTAAACTTAATAATACATAATCTGTCTATCTATCTATATCTATATATATATATATTAAAAAAAGCTATATTTGTTCCGTCTCTTTGACGTGTGAGGCTTCGGCTTCAGCTTCTCTCGAGAGTCTGCGGGCGTGCTGGCCTTCACCTGGATGTGGCGAAAGAAATGGCGCCGCCTGGGCTTTGGTTAGTCGGTTAGTCATCTTGAATCATCCAATGATTGATTAATCCCCTATGGATCCAAACACTGTTTGAGAGGGTACTTAATCTAGATACTTCCAAATTGATGATCCAATGATTAATCCCCAAAATGATTGATTTGATTAATCCCCTATGGGTACAAATCACCCTCCAAATTATAGTAAAACAAATACCCCAATCCCACTTCCTAAGAAGATACGACTGGATCCTACGGGACCATGATTGGATGATTGGATGTATCTTGGACTGATATTTTGATGATGATGATTCGATGAAAAAAACATCTGCTTGGTGGTTTCAAACATGGCGTTTCTTTATTTTCCATTTCACAAAAAAGGGATGTCATCCTTCCCATTGACTTTCACTCCATCATTTTTCAAGATGGTAAGTTATTGCACCACTAAGCAGTCATGAAAAAAATGCCATCATGATTTGCCATGGATTTACCCTCTGGTAAACGTACAAAAAAACTATGGAAAATCACCATTTTTAATGGGAAAATCCATGAAAATCCACTATTTCTATGGTCATTTTCAAGTTCGCAAACTGTTGACATAACCAGAGGGTATCATGATGAATCCATCGCCCGTCAGGCTTGGCATCCGACTCCGAGCCGGAGAGGTTCGTGATTTTTTGTGCTGAAAAGCCAGGGAACGTTGGAACAGTTGGAGCCAGGATGATTTGCCATCGGATGAAGAGTTAATGCTGCGTCCTTGGAGTCCTCAGAATTCATGGCATGAATATGGCATTCATGGCATTTGAATGGAGGTTTTGAATGGCCAACTTGGAGGTTTTGAATGGCCAGCCATGGGCCCCAAATGGGGCAGCCATGGGCCAATTAAAACATCCCATTCGGCAAGTTGAGAATGTTGAGAGTCAACTTGTTCACAGATTCCGAACTCTTCAGTTTTTGATATTTACATGTTTCATCGTTGCGGGTCTGAGAGCTTCACTGGATGAACCGCTGAACCGCAGTCCGGTTCAAAATATGGCCCATATGACCTGGCAGCGGCAGTTATGCCTGGAGAGCGGGTGAGGAGATACAACGCATGGAATTGTGCCAAGCTTAAACCGTAGATCGAGACTCCAGATGACAGGTCGTACATGGTCGTAGCATATTGGAAGCAGCGGATTTCAAGACATTTCCAGGTCAAACAGTGTTGAAAGATGTAAGTCGGATGGAAGTTCTCACCGGGTAAGTGAATGAGTGGTAGAGTTTTGGTGAATACCTGGCATGGCATGGTGAGACTTGACTGTCACAGCTGGCCTAGGTCCTCTCTCCTTCAGGCAAGTGGTCACCATCACCGTCTGCCTCGGCAACGCCGTGGCGTATCTCTTCTTTTTGCATCCCTTGCTGTCCACGTTCACCACGAGCTCCATCCGCACTCCCGGAACGGCCGATCCTTTGCCCAGCCCCAGCGCCCTGCAAGGCAACCCGGGCACACCGGGCACACCGGGCACACCGGGCACACCGGGCACGGCTGCAGTAGAAACTCCTGCCGTTGGCCAGGTGAGTCAAGTCCATGCACTTGAAGCTGTTGCTGTGACCAATGGCACCACTGGAAGCAGCAGCAGCAGCTTGGAACAGATCGATGTCTTCAGCATTTTGTTTGTGGCATCTTTTGTGGTGACAGTGCTCTGCGGCATTTGCACCATGACCATTGACCCGGTGGACCCCCTGGTGGTGCAAGCCGAAGAGGGTGATCACCAAGTACACGAAGATGTGTTGTATTGTCGTTACTGCCGAGCAAGCGTGCAGCTTGATTCCAAGCATTGCTGGGATTGCAACAAGTGCGTCGCAAATTTCGACCATCACTGCCCCTGGCTGAACACCTGCATTGGAACTCGGAACTACGCATGGTTTTACGTGGCGATTTGGTCCTTTCTGGTGATGCTGGGGACCAGCTCGACGGTTGGTGTCCTGGTGCTTGTGGAGCACACCAAGAGAGAACAGAACCCGCTAGGCTTAGATGTCGTGTACGTTTGGGTCATTGGCGTCATACTGTCAGTGATCAACATGTCCCTGTGCTTCCTGGACCTGACCCTAGTGATTTTCCATACCTATCTGTGCATTCGACAGATCACCACGTATGAGTACATCACCGGGAAAGTGTCCAAAAGGAAGAAAGAGAGGGAGAAAAACAAAGAGAGATCCGATTTCGGAGGGACTGCTCACTACGTCCCGCACACCGTTCACACCGTTCCGCGGGCTGTTCCGACCTTCAACGCGAGCCCCTACGCAACTGCCATGTCATGACCCCAGAGTTGTAGAGGTTGCAGGGAACTGCCGAGATTGAAACACCATCGCCTTTTGATAAGCTGGCCACAGATGTTGGAAATTTAGAGAGGAGCAGGTGGCATCTCACGAATGGGCACCATGTAACTTCAGATTGATCGTATTGATTGTATCTATACAACAGTTGTTATTTGGTGCTTGGATGGATCTTAAAAGCATTAATGCGCATGATATCATACAATTTTGCTGGCACCAGCACAGAGACAGAAAGAGCGAAAGAAAGAGATTGAGAGCAAACACAGCGTAAACATCAAACATTAAAAAAAGAACATCTCTCTTTCTCTCTCTCTCTCTATTTGTATAATATAGATACGATCACCTATATAATCCTATATATATATATTATACATTATGTAGAGATAGATCTATACGTCATAAACTCCTTTCTATCTATAAATATAATATCTATATCATTTATATATCCAAAAACAGTAGATGGATATTCGTAAATGGATTATCTATAGCGTAAATGTTACCCATTGATAATGTATAATCTATCTATCTATTCATGCTATTGGATATCCATTGATATGGATAGTATCCGTCATCATAAATTATCACTGATTAGATCATCATCTAATAGCCTATCATCTATCTATCACCTATGGTATGATATAATATATCCATCTATTTCTATAGATACTATCTATTTGTTTATTGATGTCCTAATATGTCTTGAACCTATCCATAAACATATATACTATAGACTATAGATACTATTAGGTACTACTCATCTATTTTTGAAGAGGTACTATCAATCTATCTGTAATAAACCGATCATTTCTACATTTATAACTGGGGGGGGGGGCACCACCTTGTATTGCCAAATGGATATCAAAGTATTTGGATAGATAATGGATATTTTTCATCAATCCATCATCAATTCATGGCATAGCTATAATGGATATTACAATCTATGATGATGGCCATTCATCTATGATACTCAATGGCTATAGGTTGACAACTATGATATATTATCCATCCAATTGATAATTACAATTACAATGTTATTATATATATCCATTGATTATTATAATCTATGAATGGATACTATGAATGGATTATCAATAATTATCAGCGGATATTATCTGTAATCCATCAATGGCTAATCCATCAATAATAGCCATTGATAATTATTGACAATCCGTTGATAATCCATTGATAATCCATTGATAATCCATTGATCATGGCTAAATAATCCATTGATCATGGCTAAATCCATCAATGGATCTGTCATAGAATTGGATGATGGGAACATTGAAACCGGAACCCCCTTTTTTTTCGATGGTAAAAACCCATGGGTTTCCGGTGAAGATTTTCCCGTGAAAACCAATCCATCAATGGATATCCATGGCCTACCTTATCGCCAAGGCCGGCGCAGGAATCGCAAGAGGAGAGCTCCTCGGCCGAATCTTCGTCCTCCGCGGAGGAGGAGGGCGTCATGTCACAAGGCGTGGCACGCCATGGGCCCGGTGGGCCCCGGTGGGCCCCGGTGGGCCCTGTGGCACCTGTGGCGGGTGATTTTGGGGCGATTTTTTTGGGGTGAAAAGCTGGTGTTTTACCAGGAAATATGAGGAACTCATGGTTTTTTATGATGAAATATGGTATTGTTAGGAGGATATATGAGAAAATGTAAGGAAATATGAGGAAACACTGGGCTTAATGGCCGAAAAGAAGGTCTGAGATGGTGATTTGAATGAATTTCAAATGATGAGAACTGGCTTTTTAGGATGAAATATGATCACGTATGATGATGATGATGATGATGATGATGATGATGATGATGATGATGATGTGTGGGAGAATCGCCTGATAGTGGCCTGAGAAATTGTCATTTTTATGATGATTTTCAATGATGAATTGAAATACCCTCTGGTTATTTAACATAGCCATGGAAAATCACCATTTTTAATAGGTAAACCGGCAAACCATCTATTTCTATGGGCCATCTATACCATGGCCGACCATGGCTATGTTAGTCATAGCCAGAGGGTAATGATCCATGTATTGAACTACCTATTCTTGTGAGTTACTGTGATCTGGATGCATTTTGGTGTTATAAATAGTGATCAGTAAGCCCAAAGCCAAACAAACCTTTCCCCAATGACTTCCAGAAATTTGTTGGAGAGACACCA